TTTCGGCCTTCCAAAAGGTTTGTGACTATTTCCTGTAACTTTCCCTAATATTTCCCTTTAATATTTCTGCCACAATCCTGCGTGAATCCCAACACCAGCAGAAGAAAGGAAAAACTAAGATCAGAGCAGAACTAAATGACACTGAAACAAACAAACCAAAAATACAAAAGATAAATGAAACAAAAAGCTGGTTCTTCGAAAAGATAAATAAGATTGATAGACCATTAGCAAGTTTAACCAAGAAAAGAAGAGAGAATATCCTTTATCCATATAATCTAGAAAACCTAGAAGAGATGGGTAAATTCCTGGAAAAATACAACTCTCCTAGCTTAAATCAGGAAGAATTAGATACCCTAAACAGACCAATAACAAGCAGCGAGACTGAAATGGTAATTTAAAAATTACCAACAAAAAAAAGTCCAGGACCAGAGAGATTCACAGCAGAATGCTACCAGACATTCAAAGAAGAATTGATACCCATCCTTTTGACACTATTCCACAAAATAGGGAAAGAAGGAACCCTCCCTAATTCATGCTATGAAGCCAGCATCACCCTAATTCCAAAACCAAGAAAAGACACAACCAAAAGAGAAAACTACAGACAGATATCCTTGATGAACATAGATGCTAACATCCTTAACAATATACTAGCTAACTGAATCCAACAACATATCAAACAGATGATCCACCATGATCAAGTGGGTTTCATACCAGGGATGCAAGGAAAGTTTAACATACACAAGTCAATAAATGCGATTCACCACATAAACGGAATTAAAAACAAAAATCACATGATCATCTCAATAGATGCAGAAAAAGCATTCAACAATATCCAATACAGCTATTTTATTTTTTAATTTATACTTTTAAGTTCTGGGATACATGTGCAGAACATGTAGGTTTGTTACATAGGTATACACGTGCCATGGTGGTTTGCTGCACCCATTAACCTGTCATCTACATGAGGCATTTCTCCTAATGCTATCCCTCCCCTAGCCCTCCACATGGAGCTGGGGGTGGGGTGACACAAGCCCCACTGTGGCCACCACCACTGGGATTGCACTGGGTCAGATGTATGTTCACTCAAGGACCTAAGACTCTTCAATCAGTAGCTGGCAAATCCAGCCAGGCTTGTGTCCTTCTGGTTAAACCTGAAGCCAACAGTCCCGGGTCTCACCAAAGCCTTGTAACCACTACCTGGCTACTGCCTATGTTTACACAAGAACCGAGGGCTCTACAATCAGCAGGTGGCAAAGCCCACCAGGCTGGCATCCTTCCCTTAATGGCAGTGAGTTCCCCCAAGCCCTGGATAGGTCCAGAGATGCTGTCTGGGAGCCAAGGACTGGAGTCCAAACCCTTAGAAATTGACGTGATGCTCTATACTACCGCAACTGAGCTGGCTCTCAAACCACAAGACAAAGTCCTTCCTATTCTTCCCTCCTCTTTCCACAAGCAGAGGAAATCCCCGTGGCCACCACCACCATAGGCCCATAGGGAGTACTTCCAGGCTACCACTCATGTTTCTCAAGGGTTTTTCAGTCAGCTTGTGGTGAATGTGCCAGGCTTGGGACTCACCCTTCAGGGCAGTGTGCTCTCCTCTGCCCCACTGCAGGTCCAGAAATGCCATCCAAGAATCAAGGCCTGGAATCGGGGACACCAAGAGTCCACTTGGTATTCCATCCCACTGTGGCCAAGATAGCACTTAAGGTACAAGACAAAATCCCCTTTACTTTCCCCTCTGCTTTTCTTAAGAAAGAGTCTCACTATAGCCACCACAGCTGTGAATGTGCTAGGTCTCACCTGAAGCCAGCATGCCACAGAGTCTCACCCAAGGCCACTGTGTACTACCTGGTTAACACTGCTGGTCATTCAGGGCCCAAGGGCTCTTTAGTCAGCAGATTATGAATCTTGCCAGAACTGAGTTCTTCCCTTCACAGCAGTGGGTTCACTTCTAGCCCAGGGTATGTCTATAAATGTGTGGGATCTAGGACCTGGAATGGGGACCTGATGACTGCCTGGTACCCTCTCCTACTGTGGCTGAGCTGGTCTCCAAGATGCAAGAAAAATCAAAGTCCTCTTTAGTCTTACCTCTCCTCCCCTCAACAAAAGAAAGGAGTGACTTTCTTTGCTGTGAGGTGTGCTGTCTGAGGTTAGGGGAGGTAGGTGCAAGCACTCCTTAGCCTTTCCAGCTGATGTCTCACTAGCTTGGGGCCCCCCACATCCATTGGCTCAAAGTCCAAAACAGCAGTAGGACTTGTTCAAGAATTGTGGTCCTTGTGGCCTACACTGCCTTTCAAGTTTATTGAGGACCACATAGCACTTTAGTCTGCAATGGCGAGGCTTGGTGGAACTCAAGTTCCAACCACTGGGATGGGCGATTCCAATCTGGCTAGAACTGGTCTAAATTCTCCCTCTGTGGGTGGCTGTCAGTTGAGTTCAGCTGGGTTTTGATTTCTGCTGTGACAGGCCAGCAATGAGTTCAATTAACAGTCCCACAAGCATTGCACTCTCCCTCTTCTAAGTGCTCAGATTATCTCTCCCCACCACACAGCCACTGCCATGGGTTGGGGGAAGGATGCAATCAGTGATTCAAGACTGTTCCCTTCCCTCTTGAGTGCCTCTTTCAGCAATATGAAGTTAAAACCAGGTATTGTGGTTGCTCACCTGAGTTTTGGTTATGAAGATGGTTTTTTTGTGCAGATAGCCGTCACATTTGGTGTTCCTGCATGAGATATAATCAGTGGAGGATTCTATTCTGCCATCTTGCCCCACCCTTAATCCAAATAATTGTGATATTTTAATAAATATACACAATGTGTTAGGATAATTAGCATATTCATCACCTCAAACCTTTATCATTTCTTTGACTTGATAACATTCAATATCCTCTTTTTTAAGGGCCAGCCACAGTGACTAATGCCTGTAATCCCAGTAGTTCGGGAGGTCAAAGTGGGAGGACTACTTGAAGCCAGGAGTTGGTGACCAGCCTGGGCAACATAGTGAGTCCCCATCTCTACAAAATAAAAATAAAAAATAGCTGGGCATGGTGGTGCATGCCTATAGCCCCAGGTATTCGGGAGGCTGAGGTGAAAGGACTGCTTGAGCCCAGGAGTTTGAGGCTGTAGTAAGCTATGATCACATGACTGTACTGCAGCCTGGGCAAGAGTTGAGACTCTGTCTCTAAAAAAAGGAAGTAACAATAAAATGCAAAATCTTCTAACTATTTGAAAAAATTTAATGAATTATTGTTTACCACAGTTACCCCACAAAGCTATAGAACACTAGAACTTATTCTTCCCATCTAGCTGTTAACCAACCTCTCTCTATCCTCCCCTCCACAACATCCTTCTCATCATCTAATAACCACAATTCTACTCTCTACTTCTATGAGTTCAAATATTTTAGCTCCCACATATGAGTGAGAACAAGAGATATTTATCCTTCCATGCCTGACTTATTTAACTTAACATAATGTCCTCCAAGCTCATCCATGTTGCCATAAATGACATAAATGACAGAATTTTATTCTTTTTTTTCTGGCTGGTTTTCTATTTTGTGTATATATACATTGTCTTCATTCATCTGTTGATGGACTTTTAGATTGATTCCTATCTTGGCTGTTGTGAACAGTGCTGCAGTAAACATGGGGATGCAGGTGTCTCTTCAATATACGTACGGATTTCCCTCCTTCACGTAAATACCCAGTAGTGGGATTGTTGGCTTGTATGGTAGTTCTATTTTCAGTTTTCTGAGAAACCTCCATACTGTTTTTTCATTTAGTTGGGCTAATTTATGTTCCCACCAATAGTGTATAAGAGCTAACTTTTCTCCATATCCTCATCAGCATTTATTTTTTGTCTTTTTGATGACAGTCATTCTATCTGGGGTGAGGTGATATCTCATTGTGGTTTTGATTTGCATTGCCCTGATGATTGGGGATGTTGAGCATCTTTTCATATACCTATTGGCCATTTGTATTCCTTCTTTTGAGAAATGTCTATTCTGATCCTTTGCCCATTTTTAAATCAGATTATTTATTTTTTACTGTTGAGTTCCCTGTATATTCTGCATATTAATCCCTTAGAGAATGAACAGTTGCCAAATATGTTCGCCCATTCTGCAGGCTGTCTCTTCACCCTGTGGATTATTTCCTTTGCTGTGCAGATACAGCATTCTTTTCTTGAAAACCATTTAATTGAGGTATGATTGACATGCAAAAAGCTGTACCTATTTAATGTGTACAATTGGTGCATGTGGAGATAAGTATACATCTGTGAACAATCTATGCCATAAACTGTCACCTCCAAAAGTTTCCTTCCCTCCTCTTAATTTATTGTTATTTATCATAAGAACATTCTTGAAAAGATAAAATTACAGAAATAGCTAACAGATTAGTGGTTGCCACAGGTCAAGGAGGGAGCAGGAATAGGAGGGAGGGGGGTATAGCTATAAAAGGCCAACACAGGGGATCCTGTGGTGATAGAAGTGTTCTATATATTGATTATATATCATTATCAATGCCCTGGCTGTCAAAATAGACTGTAGTTTTGCAACATTTGGGAGGGAAACTGGGTAAAAGGTACATGGGATATCTCTATGATTTCTTATAACTGCATCTCAATCCACAACTATCTCAAAATAAAAAGTTTAATTAAAACAATTTTAAAAAACATTTGGCTGTTGGAGATCTCACAAAATAAGATTACTGTTGTCTACTTTAAATGACTTAATTATTCTTCTTCCTGGAAGCAAGAAGTTAAAGTGACCAAGGGAACTCATCAAGGTTTTCCATAGCTCTATGACCATAGAATGGTATACTGCAAAATACAGTGTTTAATAGTCTTTAAAAAATAAAAATGGGTTAAGTTTCATCATAAAGCAATGGAATGTGACTTTCTAATCACTGAATGAAAATGAAATTATATCTGCTTCCACACTACATGTAAAACATATAGCTTCCTTTTGAAATTTTTATAAATATATTGCATATCAAAACTTACCTGCTCTTCTCTGTCTTAATTCTTTTAACATTCAGTTTCCAGGTGACAAATGCTTTATTCATTCTGAAAGGAAAAATGCTTCTTATATTCCATATCCATAAACCATTTATATGGAATAAATTTAGTAAAAGCTTAGTAATATCAGAATATTCTCTAGAACATGTTTCATTCATCCTGAGTTACCTAAAGTAAATGCTAAACCATATAAATTTTCTCCCAAACTATCAGCAGAATATAGAGCAAAAGGTAAAGGTAAATGAAAGTCCTTATAATTCTCACAGATGCAGGATTCACTTAGCTGCACCATTCCAATAAATATTAAAAATGATTTTTAAAATATTGTTTTCCTTTATATGTTTACTGGCTTACTTTGAAAAGAGACTTCATACTTCAAGAAAAGTCAAGATTCAATTTTCAGTAATAATGAAAAGGTACATTGATAAAAAGTCTCTATAGTGGTAAGTAGAAAATTAAGGTAATGTATGTCATTTTGATATTATTTAATACTTATGTAAAAAATGCACTTGTAATTTTTAAAACTCAAAGAACCTACATGAGAAGGAATTGGAAAGTTTCCCTGGTTATGATTCATCATCAATAATTGTCATGCATTCTGAAAAAGACATGTCAACTGTTTCTGCAAATCTCTCTCAACTCTAAATGAATATTGCCACCTACATTATGCACGTGTGGGACTAGTCTAATGCAGTATCACAATTGCTTCCTTGGTAGCCTTTGCATCTAGAGGAAAACAACCACCTTTAAATAAACACTGAGATGTGATACTTGTTTGCCAATGTGAGATTACTTATGTAGCTGGTGAGAGCTAGTGGGTAGCAGAAAATCGTGGGGATAGGGGTGTGTCTGAGAAGCCAAACAGCCAATCTTAGTGATGACGTTGGCTAATTTTGAATCAAAGAAGGCTGAAAGGGGCCTGGAGCCATCCAAGCAGTTCAAAGAGAATCCCATGATATCCTTCAAACAGGCTCACCCGAGGCCTTGAAAATCAGGACTGCCTCAATCAAAATCTAGTACCTTGACCTTAAATCCAGTTCCAAAGAAGCACTCCACATAAGTTACTATTTCACTTTAATCCAAATCCATAGAGTCATGGTATCTCAGAACCCTAGAAGATCCCTGAAAATCCTTAAGAATCAGAGGGGAGCCCAACGGTGTAAGGCGTATCTGCACCAGGTCACAAAAACTAATATACCAGAAAAGTTTCACGAGGTAAAACAATGATGCTGACGGTCTAATCACCCCTGTACTGGCACCACCAGCTTAAGTTGTTAACACTTCATCTTTATTTCATTTTTCCATTTGAAATATTACCTTTTACAATATCATGATCTAAGAAAAACTATGAAAATATTAAAAATAAAATTTAAAATTAAGTAAGTATATTAAGTATATATAAAATTAAGTACAAATTAAGTAAATATAAAATTTATTTTTTTCTTAACATGAATAAAGAAAGTGAATCATTTTGACTATAGACTTTGATACCAAATGTCATGTAAAAAGATGATTCTTGTCCCAGCTGCAGCTGAATTTAAAAAGTTTAATAAATGATAACTATTTAGAGCAGAGCAGACCCTGAGGATGTATCAAAAGGCAAGCATAACAGTGGAAAGTCTGACACTGACAGAGTCTCAAATAAAAAGATACAGAAAATATTACTTTGGATACTATCTTAAATTGATAACCCAGAATCAAAAACCTATCTAGCCCCAATTCTAGCTCCTAAATTACAGGGATGCAACTATCACCTCTCTTTGACGAGAAACTTAGAACTGTTACTCAGTCACCTACGCTACATGTGACAGGTCCCAGAAAATAACAGAACCAGCTTCATTTCCTACCAACTTCATTCCAGGAACACCACTTCTACTGTCAAATCCATACTAAACTAGTTCCTGCTTCACAACTTTGAAACCTGCATCTTCTGGAGCTCCCACAGGGCTGCCTAGTTTTCATCATTTCGGTCTCTGCTTCAATACCACATCTCTGACCATCCTATCTAAAGAACTAATGCACACATACATCTCTAATTCTCTGTTTTATTATATTTCCAGGCCTCATCACGATCTGAAATTATTTATTTACCTATTATTATCTATCTCCTTCCATTAGAATATAAGTTCTATAGGAACAGAAACCTTGTATATTTTTTCGTAGTTCTGTCTCCAGTTCTTAACACAGGTGAAACAAAATAGGTACACAATAACATTTATTCAATAATTAATTTCTCTGTCACAAAATCCTTCTTCTCTTACCAAAAAAAAAAAATTCTCAGGTCCTTAGTTATTCAAGCTATTTACATATTAAATAAACAATTTAAAATATTATTTATCTGTTTTCCTACTCCCCAGCAGACAAGAACATATCACAAGAAAAAGCAGACATTAGAGAAGAAACAAGAAAATTATAGAACTAGATACAAACACTAAAAGAACAATAACCTGGAACTACTCTGTGAAGAATCAGTCTTGGGAATCCTAATGTGATGTGATATAACATAATGTAACATAAGGTACCTTAAAACTAGATAAATTTTTAATCATGAGCTTGAATCAACAAGCTGCCTCCAGCTCCCTTACTCTGTTTTATTTTCCTTCAACCACATTTAGTCTCCACTCAATATTTCACATATTTGCATGTTTTCCATTATCTCTCACCCACTATGATATACATATTTGAGTGCAGGACAATTGCTTGGTTTGTTCAATACAATATCCCTGGCATCTAGAATATGCCTGGTTCTTAACAGACTCTCAATAAATATTCATATAAATAAATATATGCACGGAAAAAAAGGCAAACCCAAGCCAACATAGCTGACTCTTGAACAACATGGGTTTGAACGGCACAAGTCCATTTACATGTACATTTTCTTCCACATCTGCCACCCTTGAGACAGCAAAACCAATCTCTACTTTTCCTCCTCCTCCTCAGCCTACTCAATGTGACAATGACAAGGATGAAGAACTTTATTATGATCTACTTCCATTTAATAAGTAGTAAATTTATTTTCTCTCCCTTATGATTTTCCTTTCTCTTTCTTCTAACTTACTTTATTGTAAGAATACAGTATACATGTACCAGACAAAATATGTTAATGATTGTTTATGTTACTGATAAAGCTTCTTGTCAACAGTAGACTATTAGTATTAATAGCAAAGTTTGGGTAGAGTCAAAAGTTATACTCAAATTTTGAACTGTGTAGGGGGTCAGGGCCCCTAACCCTTGCATTGTGGCAGAGTCAACTGTAGGGTGTATTTAAGTTTGCTTGACTATAAAATATTTTTACAATATTTATCCAAAAAGACTAAAACTAAGAGTTGTAATACTGAAAAGGGTAAACTTCCTTCACCTAAAAACTTTTTATGGAACATCCCATTCCTCTGTAACTTATGGCATTTCCTCGTAAGTTACCAGTAACAAATGCTTTATTAATTCTGAAAGGAAAAATGCTTCTTAAATGCCAAAATTATTGGCATTTCTTCATAAGTTACAGAGGAAACGGGGTGTTCCATAAAAATTTTTTAGATAAAGGAATTAGTACTATTTTCTACTGGTATTACTGTAGTAGAACCCAGATGTCAATCGGGCAACTGCTCCTTCAACAGGATCAAACTACAAAGAACTGGTTTCATTTTTTTTCACCTCACCGGAAATCAGAAAATATCTTGAATTGACGTAATAAATAGTAATGTCTTCTTTCTGATAGCCATTCCAAAGTAGGTATGAGTTCTACTTCCTCTATACTACCAACGATATTAGTGACCTACAAAATAAGGCACAAAAGCATTATTTTATTTATTTTAAAAATATGTACCATTTTCAAGAAATTAAGAAAGCCTGTATTTGGCTGATAACTTCTTGACTTTATAACTAAGTTTTTTCCATGTATGAATCCTCAGCTATTTTATCTATACCCAAATTTGATTTCCCTCAACACACTGCTTCTACACTTGCTATTTTCTCTTTTTTTTTTGTATTCTTTTTATTTTTTATTTTTTTATTTTTATTTATTTATTTATTATTATTATTATACTTTAAGTTCTAGGGTACATGTGCATAACGTGCAGGTTTGTTACATATGTATACTTGTGCCACTTGCTATTTTCTAACGCTATTTCTTGTGCTCCGACAGAGAGAAACTTCCTCCTCACCCTGAGATACTTTTCACAAATAGCTGTTTAAATTTGAGTCTCACAATTTTTACATTTTCTATAAAAGTAGTATTTATGAACTTCATTTTGGCTACAGAGATGCGGTAGTCCAAAGTGGCTTATAATCTCACTACCCACATATCCTATATTGACATTCAAAAACTACATGCCCTTCATCAAGGAGTTCTCTCTCTTCCCATGAGTGGCCCTCCCCTATCTGAATGTCACCATTAAAAAAAAAAAATTTATTCCAGAGATAAAAGTATGCATATTTTTATCAGCACATATGTATCTATGTGTATATTCATATATATATAGAAGTTTTTCCTCCATTCTCACTTGATACTATTAGAGGTATTTCTGTATCTGCATATACAGATCTACCTCATACAAAGATGTGGTCTTGCCCATGCATAAAGTTCATTTTAGTTGGGAGGCTGGGAGGGCAGAAAAAGGCAGACAGACATTAAACAAATCATTAAAACAAGTAACTGTATATTTTCAACTTGTGATAAATATCAAAATGCTATATAAGAGTGTAAAAGGGGGATTTCTACATCTGGCAATAAAGTTTCGGACAAATGTGCCAATAAAGAATATTCTTTTCTTTATTATTATAGTTCCCATTATGTTAGCAAATGCTTGTTTTGTAGTTCTTCCTTTAAAAATTTACTCCAAGTATTAACAAAGTATTTGATAGATGAAAAAATTTATTAAAGTTGAATCTCCAAACCTAAATCTCTACACAAAAGGAAAAACTTCACTATTAAATAACATTCTCCCAAAGAGATTCTTATATACAAACTGCTCCACAAATGACCAAGTATCTCTGAAACAGAAAGATAAATGTACGCAATTAAATTCTACATTGGATAATATTTTTGTATTGTAATTCCAAAAGCTTAAAACATCCATTAAACATTACCTTTGAGATAAATGAAGCAGTAATAACCCAAAATTCTTTGCAATGTTTAGCGGTATGAGCCGATACTACCTGAAGATCATACGGATTGTAAAGGGCTTTAGGACTTTTCCGAGGAAGGCAATATACAAATTCTCCATCATCTTCCAAAGGTTTCTGAGATTTAAAAAAATAAAAATAAAGAAATTTAATTAATTTGACTAAATTAACAAAATTAATACAATGGCTGAACTGATTATCCACTAAATTGAAACAATTTAAACACAGATTAAAAATAAGAATACTATATTTGGAGAAAGCTAACATCAAATTGTGTCTAAACAATGTTCAACAAGATCAATCTTATGAAAGATTTAACATATTTAATTTTCATCCTTAAAAAAGGATCCTTAATTCAGAAAAAAAATCTATATGCTTAATAATACATGCTTATTAATCCAAAGAACTCGACGACATACCTTTTACATAATATGCCATCTTCCAGTATTTGTCTGCCAACACCAGAAATCTTTGGGCACATTAAATTTGTCATTTATTTTGATAATGATGGCGGTTTAGTATAAGATAAAAATAGCTATTATTTGTTAAGTAATAAATAATGAGTAATAACTCTTTCATATACATTATCTTTACAACCATAAGAGTTTAATCTATTAACATTCACCTCTCAAATTTAAAGAAACTAAGGCTTGATATTTTTAATCTCACTAAACAATTGCAGAAATTAATACTTTGAGGGAACTGAGTGAGGTGGCTCACGTCTGTAATCCCAGCTATTCAGGAGGCTGAGGTGAGATCACTTGAGCCCAAGAGTTTGAAACTGCAGGGAGCTTTACTCACACCATTGTGGCTTCAGCCTAGGTGACAGAGAAAGACCCTGTTTTTCAAATTTAAAAAAATGAATATTTTGATAAGTTAGATAATTTGAGAAAAGTCACAAATTCAGGAAATGGTGAACTAGGGATGTGAATCCAAGTCTGACTCTAAACCCATATTCTAAGCTATTGCAATAAATTATAATGCCTCTCCCATATTTGGCATTGAAAAATCAGCCATTACACACTAAGGAAAATTTTAAGTAAAATGTATTTATTTTAGCTTTAAAATAAAAGTTTCCTGAAACTTTTAACTTTTATTGATAAAAAATTCTAAAATCACAAGAAAACTTTAGTCTTTTCTGGATAAATTTTACCATAAAAAAGCATTTAGTATTTAGTGATGTCCTCAGAAGCTATTTAATTGTGTAACTAAACGGTTTCCAATCATTGTAGTTTTAAATTTTGGATCCAGTTTTACACTTTTTAAAATTCTGTCTTCCTTGAAGATTACTTGTTTCTTCTCAATTATTTTAGCTGTTTCACTTTCTTACTTCAGCTTCTAATATAATCAATATTAAACCCTCAAAAACAAGTTTAAAAACTGCAAATAAGAGGAAATAAATGAGCTCTAAATGATGACTTGTATAATGTATGACCTTTTTAATTGTTATTTGGTTATTTGAGTCATTTATGTTCTAAATTAGGTTTCAAAACATTACTAAGAAACAAGATAGATACAAATCTTCCAAATGGATCATATATATAATTAAAAAATCAAATCATAAAAGCATAAAAATATGTTCCAATTAAATTATTTTTTCAATTAAAAACAAGTGTTTAATCATATTCTCAATCCTTTCTTCACACACAAATGAAATTCACTTTATTTGAGAGTCCAAGGAACCCATGCACAGCTATGGTTTTGTTTTGTTTTTAAACTACTGTGTCCACCACCTGCCAGGCACCATGGCATATATTTAATTTTCACAGTCCTCCATGGTAACTATTATTATCTCCATTTCAAGGTCAAAAAACTAAAGCTCAAGAGGTTAGGAACTTGATAACATGGTGAGTGTACAGGTTCAAAACTAGGTAAATCTGATTCAATTATACGTGTACTTTCCTTCACATTGTTGCCTCTGAAAAATGATCAAAAGATGATTTATCTTCATGGTAACATTGTAGAGCAGGGCAAGGTGCCTGTTTTTGTAAATAAAGTTTTATTGGAACACAGTCACATCCATTTATGTATGTATTATCTATCAATGCTTTGGTACTACAGTGACAGAGTTGAGTAGTTGCAAAATCTAAAGTATTTATTACCTGGTCCTCTTCAGAAAAAAATCTGCTGATCCTTGGTTAGGAGCAGTGGTTCTTAATTGTGCATTAGAATCGTGGAGAACTGAATAAAATACAGATTGCAAGGCTCTGCCTCCAAAGGTTTCTGATTCAGTGGGTCTAGGGTGCAGATAAGAATATGTATGTCTAGTAAGTTCTAAGGTGATTCCAGTGTTGCTTGTCTGGGGACCACATTTTGAGAGTCCCCTTTCTAACAGTAGGGAGAGATGATCCTGTTCAATCTTAGAGCACCTGTAATAAATGAGGTCTCAGGACACAAAACTTAGTTCTTACCACAGCTTCTACCCTCTGGTCATGTGACCTTGGACAAGCTAAAATTTCTCTGAAGACAGAGGCTAATGGGTAAGAAAAAAATGAATAGCATAAGGAAACACAGACCAGATGAGATAGAAAATCAGGTACCAGGGAGTTAGAGTGTGAGAAGAATAGAACGTTACATTACCTAACAATTTCTTCTTAAATCACGGAAAAAGTGTTATCCAGAAACCAAACAGTAGATTCAAGTTTCAGGCAGATGATACACCTTTCCTGGGGACTCACTCAAAGAAAGTGATAAGAGGGGACAAACACAAACATTTTGATGTGTCATAGACTTAAAGTTTATATGCTTGATCTATTCTCCATTTCTTAAATAAGTAAAATGAAATGATGTCAAATACTTTTGCATTTACCATGAAATAATTGTAACTTGATATTAATGTAATGTTTGACTTTGACATAATATCTGAAATGAAATAAAAATAAAAATATAATTTCAACATTGATTTTTAAAGATCAAAATTAAATAAAATAGAACAATACCTTTAAAGTAATCTTCTGAACTGCAATTTTGGAACTTCCATATTTCAAACTGTGCTGCGGTAATACAGTTTGCCAACCAAGCTTTTCTCGTAGCCTAATAATATTTCTTATCACATCATCATCTTTTGGTTCTGGTATAGAACAATTTAAAAATCCAATATAAGTGCAAATGTGGGTATCACTTAAGGATAATGCAAAATATTCCAAATATTTCTATATAGAGAAAAAAATCTAAATGGTAACTTAAACGATTATATTATTAGAGGAGAAAATATAGCTTAAAATTCAGTTTTAACAGAAGTTGGAAAGAGGGAATAATATTTATCAGTTTAAGAAAGACGTCACGAAAGACCTAATTCATAATTACACAGGTAGTAATAAGAGAAGAGACTAGGAACAGGAACTGGTTATAAGGCTTTTCTTAATAAATGCCTAAGCTGGAGGAGGGGCAGTTGGATCAGAAAAGCAGGGATGACAGGGTGGGATGGAAATATTTTTCCTAAGGATACTCATCCCACAGACACCTTTCAGATCATCTCTCACTTAATCTCTTAGCCAACAGTTGACAATCCTCTCATTCTTGAAAGAGTCTCTTTTCTAGGCTTTTATTCACTATGCTATACAGGTTGTCCTGTTGGCCCTTAAACTTATTTTCTTGATAGAACAAATCTTGGAAAGAGAAGCATACAGAAAGCCATGCTAAGAAGTTATATTTCTGGCCCTCTAGAAATTACAAACAACATTGGACTAAAACAACTTCTTTTCTAAGGATTAAATGAGACTTGAGCTCTTGTATAAGACAGTATGATAACTAGGATGAGGCACTTGCATGACTCTAAGAGTGAGTCCCTCTTTACATTTTGTGCCCTAGGTGAGGTATTGAAAATTAGTATTAAGGATATGGTACAACTGTGTATGTCTGACAAGAGGATAAGTAACATTATAGACCCAGATATAAAAATATATACCTTCTAGAAATCAAAATAGTGTGGTATTGACATAGAAAAGCAAAGAAGTAGAACAAATTAGAGTTTCGAAATATAACTACATATACAAGCCAATCTAATAAGTGAAAAAGATAATTCAAATCAACAGAAGAACGATTAACCATTCAATAAATCATAATGCAAAAGTGGTTAGCCATTTGAAATAAATATGCAGTTATATGCAAGCATAAATTATAGATGGATTAGAGCTGTAAATGTGGAAAAACAAATTATAGAAATACTAGAAGAAAATATGGCAGAATATGTTTATAAAACTGGGGTAGTGAAGGCTTCTTGGAAAAGAATCAAAGCATGTTAAAAGGAAAACAATGATACATTTGACTTGCTCAAACTTAGCAACTTATATACAAGAGAAACCACCATACACAAAGTTAAAATGTAATTAACACATTTTAAAAAGATGTTTATAACCTATATAACAGGCTAGAGATTACTATACCACATATCTCAAGAATTCTTAACGATTAAAAAATAAACATTTTGATAAAAAGATGAACAAAAAATTTACAGGAAAAGATAAATGGCCCATAAACATATGGAAAAGTATTCAACCTCATTAGTACTCAGGGAATTGCAAATAAAATAAAAATTAAAACACATATCTCACACAGACTGGCAAAAAATTTAAAATTGGAAAATATCAGCTATTGGCAAGGGTATTCCCCTTGTGTAATATCATGAAAGTATCATAAATTAGCATTTTCATTTTTGAGTGTGATTTGGCAGATTCAACAGATCTGACAAAGACTGTTCAAAAATGGAGGCAATTTCAGCAAATAAAGAACCCTTTTTCAGAATAAATAGTAAAATATAAGGAAGGCATAACTTTCAAAAAACTGGAAAGAAAACATCTTTCTAAAAAAGTTAGGTTAGTTCATGACAGAATCAAGAATGCTTACTAAAAACAAACAAGGTCAGGAGTCTGGCAAATTTTGGCTGGGTCCTCTGCTCAGGGTCTTACAGGACTGAAACCAAAGTGTCAGCTGACCATGCCCTTATCTGGAGGCTGGGCTAGCGAAAGACTTGCCTCTAAGCTCCTCAGGTTTGAGGTGGAATTCGTTTCCTTATGGCTGTATTACTGAGGTCCCCATTTTCTTGGTAGTTGGCTGGGTACAGTTCTCAGCGAACTTTAGGGTTCTTGCCATGTAGTCCTCTCTACAACACGGCAGTTTGCTCCTTCAAAGGTAGTGGCAGGGCCTCTGCTACTACTTGCGGTCTCTTAAGGGTTTATCTGATTAGGTCAGGCTTGCCTCTAATAGTCTCCTTTGATAAATTTAAAGTCAACTGATTAAGGGTCTTAAATACATCTGAAAATCCCTTTGCCATATAAATAATATAAAAGCATGGGAGTGACAGTCTATCATATTCACAGGTACTGTTTCCACTTAGGAGTAGGCAATTATACAAAGCATGTACACCAGAGGGTAGGAATACTGGAGGGCATATTAGAATTCTGTCTACAACTCCCTTTTTTAAAAAAATGACTAAATGTTGTTAAATCCTGGTAATGAGTACATGAATACTAAATTATTTTCTCTATATTGTATATTTGAAATATTTAATAATTGTTTTAAAATCTAAACAAAATGCTACTTAGGTCTTTACCAGTTTACGTATTCATGAATTTATAGAAGCTAAATGAGGGAAGCAAATTAAAGAAATGCAATCAGTAAAGAATTAGAATTTTATTCATCTGGCAACCATTAAACCTAAATTACTGGCCTTTCTTACACTAGATACCAATTTCAAAACACTAAAGGACAATGCAACTAAATACTAAGAATTCTTAATGTACAGCAACATTTGTTGCAATAAAGCCACTGTATCAGTTTCCTGGATGCATGATATGGTGTGGCTCTGTGTCCTCACCCAAATCTCTCATCTTGAATTGTAATCCCCATAATCCCCATGTGTCAAGCGTGGGACCAGGTGGAGTAAGTGGATCATGGGGGTGGTTTCCCCCATGTTGTTCTCATGATAATCAGTGAGTTTCATGAGATCTGATTGTTTTATAAGCATCTGGCATTGCCCCTGTTTGCACTCACTCCATCCTGCCACACTGTGAAAAAGGTGCCTGCTTCTCCTTTACCTTCCACTATGATTGTAAGTTTTCTGAGGCCTCCCCAGGAATGCAGAACTGTGAGTGAATTAAACCCCTTCCCTTTATAAAATACCCTGTCTCAGGTATTTCTGCATAGCAGTGTGAGAATGGACTAAAACAATGCATAACAAATTACTGCAAATTTAGTGGCTTCAAACAACATGTATTCACTATCTCACAGTTTCTGTGGGTCAGGAGTCTAGATACAGCTTAACTGCATCCTCTGCTTAAAGTCTCAAAGGCTGTAATCATGGTGTTGGTTGGTAATGGATTCTCATTTGGAGTCTCTATTGGGAAAAGATCTGCTTCCAAGCTCCCTGAGGTTGTAAGAACTCGTTTCCTTGTGATTTGAGTCATAGTAGCTTGCTTCTTCAAAGCCAGCAAAGGGGAGAGACTCTAGAACAAGTCCACCAGCAAGGTGGGGTCTTGAATAATGTAATATAATCACAGCATTGACAGCCCATCACCTATTAGTTAGAAGCATTCACAGGTCCTTTCCACATTTAAGGGGAGAGAATTATACGAGGGCATGAACAACACCACGTCTGTGCAAGCTTTGTGATGTATGAGGTACTTATAATTTTGAAGATATTTATTTAAAGAAAGGGCGAAGCCTGTGTGAGTCAGGGGCCCTGAAGCTTAGGCTTCAATAGCTTTATGATAAATCCACCTCTGTACCATGGTGTTTCAATGAAAATAGAAAAGTTTTCTTTCTCTTATAAAATTTAAAATATTAATACTAAGAAGAATTTCAGGCATAGAGAAAACACAAACTAGAAGATGTTAGTGGAAGAAAATCTATTTAAATAAACTATTTATTTGGAGATTTAAACTCTTTATCAGACAAAAGTATAAAATTGTTAAATAAAATGAAATCATCAAATTTTACTACAGTTATATGTAAAACACTATACAGTTTATATTATAGTTCTAAAATCATAGCCTTCAGAGATTGTTCTTAATTAAGAACAGTGATTAAACAATCTCTGTCAATTATTCAACGTAATATTTTAGATTTTCAAAAAGAACTTAAAAAGCATTTTAATAATCCTTTAAGCAACCAAACACACAAAATTCGGTAATACTGTTTTTTCTAAAGTCAGTGTCCAATATAAGCAAACAAACCACAGAATAATTTGAAAAAGTATAGTGATTTCTAAGCAATCTGGTTCAATGATACCACATACCTGTTCTATCATATGACACAGGCCTGGCTTTCCTAACTTTTGGACAAGCATGAGTTTGATCCTTTTTTCTCCATGACTTCCCTTTCTCCCTAAGCGAAGCTGGTTCTGGAGAAACCATATGTTGTTGAGTTATATTTTCTTTAAGGTAATCTGAAAATAAAACCATTATTAACTGAATAACTAGTGTGAGATATAAATAATACCATAGTAATTCCACATACCCAGCAATACAGTTAATGATTATATAAGGCAGTATAGCATAGTAGTTAAGAGCACAGGCTGCCTGGGTTCCAAGCTCATATACAAGCTTTAACACTCATAGTCATGTGATTTACTTTGTAAGTTACCTATCTGCCTTGCTTTCCTCACCTTTGAAATGAGAATTGTCATAGTAAGAACCTCATAGGTTGTTACAAGAATTAAATTAGTTAATACATTTAAAGCACACAGTAAGTGCTTACTAAGGTAAATGTTAGTTAACTTTATTATTAGGCTGATACAAAAGTAATTGTGATTTTTGAATATTATACTAAATCTTTAAAGTGTGAATCCTCACATGAAATAAATACAGAAATGACCCTTTTTATTAACTGTAATTTGATAACTGAGCAGAGAAAATATTTAGATATAAATACAGAAAAGTAACAAAAGGTCTATTTCTTATTGTGTCTATGGCTTGCCTAATTGGTAGACTTAACACATAGAAGAATGGGGAAAATAGTAAAAACAGAACTTTGAAGAAAGAAATACAATGTCTTGTTCTCATTCATTTAACAAATACTTCTGTAGTGCAAGGTACTGTGCTACAATTTAGTAAGGCAAAAGACAGGATAATTACAAACAAAACAAAGGGGTACAAATGAAATAAACAATAAGTTTTATTTCAACCAATAGTCCTAATTCAGAAGAGAGAGAGATAATTTCCCACTTGTATAATCAGAGGAAACCACAGACCTCTCCTGTTCCAAAGACCAAATGTTGAATGATGGTAAGGCTTTCAATTGTGGGGTAGTGAGGAGAAGGGTAGCTGGGGATGAGAGAAAGATAAGAAAACAAGAGAATTGTTCAGGAGATCACAATGAAAAAAAAAATGTGGCATTAGTGGAAAGATTCGTGAGGTAGTTGTGAAAACTTTCTTCTATCTTTAAATTCTATTCCTCTCTACCTTAGTTGAAATCTAGTTATTCCCTATGGCACTACTGACATGCGACCCTCCGGTTAGTGGCTGTATATTCCCACACTCCATTTACCTCAAGATTGGAAAGTGAGCTTGTTTTAACACTCCTCACTCTCCATTCACCACTTCCAAATCATTACAACTTGCCCTCTTTCTTTAATAAATAACATAAAAATCTATTCCTTTGAAGCTCATGCTTTTTGATTACACTATATTCTTCCACTCTTTATTGATAAGTACCAATTGCCTGGTCACTCAATCTGGAACTTGGGCTAAAGGGAAAGCCAACTTTCACCATACTAAATCTGCCATCACGTGGATGACCTCAGTGTTCATGAATTAAGACCTGTCTAAAGCTGTGCTCTCCTCCCCTCTTTTCTGGATGTCCTCCCATCACTAACTCTACATCAACCAACCACATTCCCAATTACATAATAGTGCTTGTCATCACTTGCCCTCCATCCTCTCAGCTTGTTTAATTCTCCCAACATGACCATTCTTTAAGCTCATCAGGAACTCCAGTCCATTGCTCTATTGCTTTCTTACAATCCATCATCCCTCTATTTTATTTCATCTTTCTCTTTATCCAGCTTAGATGATGTCTTTTGGCAGCACTCTTGCCAATATCCTAAACTCCCTCTTTCTGTTGGCCTCACCTGTATGGCAAAACACTAACCCTGGATAAAACCAACTCTAGGAGGCGGAGCAAGATGGCCGAATAGGAACAGCTCCAGTCTCCAGCTCCCAGCACGAGCGACACAGAAGACAGGTGATTTCTGCATTTTCAACTGAGGTACTGGGTTCATCTCACT